CTACCTACCTACCTACCTACCTACCTACCTACCTACCTACCTACCTATCTATCTATCTGGCTCTGTTTGTGTGTGTGTGTGTCAGTGGTGGGTTCCGGATCCCGTTCCAACCAGTGCAGCACATGCATGCATCTTAGTGCCCCCGCAAGCCTCCGCGATGCTCCAGCTGCTCTGTGGAGCATCGCGCAGGCACTGTATGTGCCATGCAGATGCGCAGAAGAGCAGAATTCTTAAAAGACAGGTAAGGAGCTCGACTGGCGGGTGGGCCTCTGGAGCACCCTACCGGAACGGTATCCGGTAGTCTGAGCAGGCTCTGGTACTCCTGTACCGGGGTGTACCACGTGCAACCCACCTCTGGTGTGTGTGTTCCAGCATTACTCTAAAGCGCCTCAAGCAATTTCAACCAAACTTGGTACACAGATGACTTACTCTCTGGAAAAAAATACTTTGGGGGTAAGACACCCCTAACACCCCTCAGGGTGTGGTTCTGTTAAGATACAGCCTGTTGTGCCATACAGGCTTCTACTGTACAGCGCAGTGCAGTTGCCATGGTAATGGCTTCACAGTAGTCCACAAGAGAGCTCTCTATGGTAAGGGGGGAAATCCAACATTAGAAATTACATTTGGTCCAGACATTTTCCCCCTATAAATAAATACCCAGGCAACGCTGGGTTATTGGCTAGTTGCAATTAAAACACCATTTGTGGCATATTCTATCTTGGTTTGTAACTGTTAGCTCCCATTAGAACAATGTGATTTTTCACCCCTTCCTCTTTTAGTAGGTATGCAAAAGTGCTGAGGGGGAGGGGAAACCCACATTTTTTTAGCATTGTCTCAAGTACATTTTAAGCTTCAAACTTCCATGCTGCTGAGTTCTATATAGAACATCTGCAAGCACCATATAATTGGAACTGCTGGATTTGATTTATTTCTACTAATTACTTTAACCAAATTCAAACATGAAATAAATGAATGCCAAGAGCCATTTCATGCTGCTCTCATGTACATTATTGAATTAGTTCTGGCGTAGATGACATGGCAGCTGTTAACTCTTTACATGCTGCTCTGCTCTGTGAACATTTGCCTGTGTTCTGAATTGTCTTGAGAAAATTGATGCTGTTGCTTATTAACTTGGTGACTCAGCACATCTGACCCACCTTTTCAGGAAATTGCACACAAGATGGTCACAAGCAGGCAGGGAAGATGCTTGAAAAATCTTCCTGTATGGGTTCCCAGCTTGTGCGAAAGCAATTCCTACACTCACATAGGATTCTGTTTTTCTGCTGGATATCCATACAGACATTTTGAAAAGAAAAGATTGAAATATTGTAGTGTTTCTAAGAGTGAATCCTGGAAAAAAAATGAATACTGTAGATGCACACAATCAGCTTCAGAACTGGCTGTAAATTATACATACATACATACATACATACATACATACATACATACATACATACATACATACATGTGTGTATTTAGTGTCACAACCCCTGGTATGCCCAAATATTGGAGGAAGCAGACTGCTTCCATTCTCTGTCTATCGGCTCGTCACAAGAGACCATCACGACAGAAACCCAATATTTTTACTGTTGCCTTTGTTACATTTGTGTTGTATTTGTGCTGTATTTGTGTCTCCCTTTATTTATTTATCAGCACAAATACAACATGTGTGTGTGTGTGTGTGTGTATTTGTGCTGATAAATAAATAAAGGGAGACACGTATAGATTATTTATCAGCACAAATACAACATGTGTGTGT